GTGAAGGCAACGACGGTAGTTGTGGCGGAAGAGAACTCTTAGGATTGTGCTTCACGATGTTCCTTTCACTCTGACTCATTTCTTAGACGGAAAGGAAACGTAATCGCAATCTTCTTGTCTCACTCCCAACAGCAAAGCAGGCAAATAATTCGTGTGAGTTTAATCGCAGCAAGACGAGTACATGATTTAGAACACTATACCACTTACTTGTTGTAAGCGTTCTTAGTCATCGATCTTGACACGATTGCAATCAAATAGTATCATAAATTATCTTCTTTTAATTCTCACGAAATCATCATTCTTTTTTCTCTTCCTATAGCACACACTTAAATTATTCTTTTTTAATTCTTAAAGACTTGTCACAATTCTAATTCTATTCTGTTAATATGGTTTCATTCCCCCAAAGTTTTTCCTGATTCTAATATACAAGAGTAAAGTATTAGTATTTTCTAAACTGTGATTTTATTTTCCAAGCTACAATTTTATGCGAATCTGCACAAATTTAGAAAAATTTTTACATTAGAGGACACTTCTTCGACGATCTTGACCTTGACATATGTTGTCAAGATCATAGCTCTAAGTGGCTTTCAAAAGGTTTTAGGTAGCGGTTTGTTTAAAAATTATTAACAAATAAAGTTTAAAAAGTAATGTCATATTTTTGCTATACAATACTGACGGGCATGCGCGACTTTCCACGCGAAAGGCCCACCTTCTCCCTCCCTAAGGGTGTACGACTTTCCAAACACGAAATGATTTCAATTCAATCTTCCCCCTGCCTCGAAGCGTTAGGGGCTCCGCACAAGGAACAGGGAACAGAGAATAGAGAATAAGTATTTCAACCTATCAGAAACTGTGTATTCCGCAATACATAATTTTTATGTTGAAATTCTTATTCTCTGGTCTCTGTTCCCTATTCCTTTTATTGTGCGGAGCTTCTTAGACTTCCTACGCGAAATGACTTCCACGCCCCTAAGTAGGAGGGAAGATGGGGTGGATCTCGCTTCGCGTGGAAAATCGTCTCTAGGCAATATATAGAATAATTTTTGATTTTTTTTGTGTATGATAGAAACAAGACATTATTTTTCAAACTTTACGTGTTAATAACTCGTGAACGAACGATTACCGCCTAAAACCTTTTGAAGGTCACTTAGAATCATGACCTTGACAAACATATTGAAGAAGCATTCCCTAATGTAAAAGTTAACCATCTTTAATTCAATCCAAGATATCAAAATTTTTACGTTATAATAAAAAGGGATTTGTTAATTTCAATGATCCCAAAATTAATAGATTTTAAGTTTACATGCAACTACTAATTTCATTATTCTTGTTTAGCAATAGAACAAGATAAATAAGTTTCGATGAAAATAAGGAGTTCATATCACTGATCATAAATTACACATATACAATAAAATATACCATATTTTTATATCATTTACTGTTTGATAATCATACGACTCAATATTCTTAAAATTAACTATTCACTGCAACACGTTCTCCCGAGGTATATACTACAGCACGGGTACCCAATGAGTCTGAAGGGCCACATTTCAAATTTTGACTATTGTCTGCGGGCCTTCTCGCCGCGCGCGCTTTATTCACGTGGAATTTTTTTTGAAATACGATTATATTTTGGAATATGGTTGCGGGCCGGATTGAAAGACTGCACGGGCTGGATCCGGCTCACGGACCGGACATTGAGCACCCGTGTACTACAAGATGCGAGTATTCATGTACTTTGAAACACTTAGAACAATCCAATTTATACTGAATATCTATCTGCACAATGTTTCTATTGTACAGTAGCCATTATATTAATGAAATAACAATGTTATCCACATATATCTATATATATGTATAAATTAAATAAAGGTTATTTAAAAAAATTATAAAATTTTTCGCTTTATATTTATATATATATATAATATATATGTATATATATGTATATATATGTATATATTACTAGAAAATGTAAAGAAAGTATTGCAAATGTAATTGGCATTAATTTATCATTTTGAGTGACAAATCATCATTCATAATTCAATTTTTGTGAAAATACATTATGTGAAAATAGATGAAAAAGTTATCTTAAAAAGAATCTTTTAGTTAATTAAAATTAAATTCAGTACTATCTCGCATAACGAAATATATATGTGGATATCTGAAAATAACAAAAAATCAGCTACTCGACATTAAAAATGCATTGAAAAAACTATTTTAAAATAATTTCATTATACTCATCGATGTAATAGAATTATAACATGTAATTGTACATATTTAGACTAATATATATTATAGAATATATATTAAAGTTAAAAAATGTTGTAGATAAAAGAGAAGTGCTCTAGTATACAATAAGTACATATAGATAAATTGTGCCGATTAGGTATAGTCAATTTGTCAATTTGCTCGATACATCTTGCCAAACTCCTTACAATATCAAAATTTTTCAACATTTATCATAAGCCCAATACCAATAAACTTTTTCTTCACTACTATTTTATATCTCGTTTTACTTCGTAGTCGATTTTTATTACGGTGAAAAGAAATGAGGAGTGACAGTTAATCATTTGTAAACGGTATAAATATGTAGTGTCGATTATATATGTCAAGTTTTATCTATTTTATTTTATTATGAAATTTATCGAAATATATATTATCTGCGTGTATGGAATACAAATACCTGGAACGACATTCACATTTCCACATTTTTTTTCGTCGAGCCAATTTGAAATTTCATTACACACATTCCACGGAAAATTTTCCAACATCTCTCATCGTCTTTGCATTCGAAAAACTTATCACACATTTCATCTTTTATATTTATTATTAGTATATTTTGGAAAATCGAAAAGCAGGACAAATCTTTATATGATAACTGTATTCACAGTGATACATACGTCCACATAATTAAACTCATTTCTAATTGAGCTCATGTTATTTCCTCATTGGCAGCTACTATTTCAGCATTTTTTTATGTTCCTCTTCTCGGCACACTTTCACTCTTTATTTATAGATTTCCTTGTTTTATAATTGAATGTTTAATATGATTGAAATTAGATTAAAAACGTAAAATTAAATCGTATAATGTAAACATAACGATTAAATAAAATGCTTTATTAAATAAAAAATCAAACTTTTATAGCATCAAATTAACTATTATTGTGAAGAAATTTAATTCGTAAAAGCAAAATTCCGTTTTTAACGGTACTAATTTAGGTCGAGTGTAATGACAGGCAGAACAATAAAATTGAAGAGAAGGAATGCTTTGTCAGTGTTACAACTTTCGAGCTTAACAGCTTATTGCTTTTGTGTCAAGATTATTCGTGCGATTGCATTGAATCAATCCGTGCTATAGCTGTTATTATTTTAATTATTTGATATATATCTTTTAAAGTCGATCATCCGGCGTTTCGTACAACACATTTATTATTAAAACGATACTCTACTTTCGTTAACAGAACTGTAGACAGTTTCTGCACAGTTATCTTCTCATGATGGAATTTATTCTTCTCTATATTTATATGTACAAATTCATATAAATACATGAATACTCGCTAATTATTATTTTAAAATGCACATAATAAGAGAGAACATGGATAAGTAAAAATATTATAACTAAATATTAAAAATTTTTTTTAAATATTATTCTTGTAATTAATCCGCGATGTTTGTATTATTAATTTTTGTAAATTTATCAATACATTTAAAATTGATAAATTTTTCCCTTGTAATAAATAAACGTCCAACGGTCTTTATGTGTTATTATATTTCAAAAATTAATTTAAATGTAAAAATTACTATGTAAATGATAAAAGAATACAAAGAATTTTTTTAGATTATTTAAATTATCAGAATTTTCAAAGAAAACATTTTGCATTATATATCCATCTTAATCTAATTGACAAAAGAAATACTGTAGCAAATAGAGACTACAAGATTCGCTCGGAAATTTATTAAGGGATAAACTTCATTATTGTAATTATTGAAAAACAAATTTATATATCACTATAAAAATAAAATAATTTAAAAAAAAATATCAAGTTAGATATATATAAAGAGTGCAGTGTAATATAATTTTTTATTATTTTAGATACACTATTTCTTCATATCCAACACTTCACTAACTTGTATTATATTATTAGCTTGCACTATATCAATGACTTCGTTTTCATATACATTTGCACGTGGCAAAAAGAAAAAGCACACGAATCCGTAACATTTTCATACCTATTACTCGAACGATTTGATAATTAATCTATTTCTTGTAGCAGTTACATCTAAATTTCATATGAAACGATTAAACGATCATATCACGGTACGAGCGAAGGTCAATAAAAAATATAGAATTTATTCCGATACGGGATTACGGACGCAACTCCACGTGCCACGGTCTGCGATGCGACTCAAATGCAGCTCGAAAGCTCACCTCGAAAAAGCTTGCGCAAGCGTGCGATGGTGCGGCTCAACGAAAGCCAATCCGCGTAAACGTGTCTCCGTTTGTAAAGGTTACAAAGAGGAAAAGAGAACGAAAGAACGAGAGCAAGCGGAATGCAAGTACTCTCGAGGCACTGCCTTTATAAGAAATTTGTTCTCGTATAAGAAATTTGAGTGTATGCACTTTCCGCGAAGAGAGAGACGAATGTGAGCACGGGCCTAAGTTGACCTTTTTAAGCGGCGCACTAAATCTTTCGACTAGTAATATCGGTAAACGAATTACTCTTCCACGTTAACTTGCTGATTTTAGATTCTCATCTAACAGATACTTTTCCAAACGCAAACAAAATTTGAAACGTTAATTAAAAAATCAATAATTTTATTACTCTTTTTACGCAATAACAAACACAATGCATCAAGTTTGCATCGATAAGTAATGATATTACGATAAGTAATAATATTATATAAGCAAGTAATGGAACAATTAATACGTATAAGAATTATTCATAAATTGAATTGTTTGAAATTTTTATCTTTAAATAATTAATGAGTATATATTCAGAAAATCACACACGTAAATTTCAAGAGATTCTATTTATTTGTGCAGATAAAATCGGACGTCTAGATTGAAATAATTCTTGGCTTTATTAGCACTCCATTTTATGAGACTCGATATTATTATTGAAATTTGAGTTGCGTAAATCTGAAGAATCACACATCAGATTTGTCTAGAAAATAGTCCGATTACCAGAAATTATCACGCGATATTATCTTGACTAATTGTCGTTTATTTCAATTATGTGCCAAGAAAAGAGCTAATAAACATAATAAATGCAAAATAGTTGAACAAAAATACTACTTCTATTCAATAAGATGGCAGTTCATTTAATGACCAGATTTCTTTCAGATATACTCATATTACATTCTTTCTATACTATACTTACTAATATCGATCTAATATCCATACATTTTTTAGATATTATACATAATCCTTATTTACAATTAAAATCTTTCTTCTCCTTCCTCAATAACACATTATGTGACACGTTGTATGTATATTTTTTGCCTTGTAAATGCATAGAACTAAGAGATTTTATAATACTAATAAAATTTATAACTAATTTATAATTAATACTGTCACCCAATCATTTGTAACGGCAATATCAATAAAATCATGTAACGATAATGGCCTTTTCCCTTTTAATTCGCTTTTCATTGGTAATGTTCGTACATTATTATATCTTATAAGAATGATGATTTTTTTACAAAACTGTAAGATATATTTCCGATAAATATCTTCTATATGGGATACTACGGAATTAATATTAATATTAATAATATTTTGATACAGTTGATGAGTACGATATTACTACAACCTGAGAGATACCAGAATGGAGAAGAAATGAAATAACTGTTATACAGTAAACTGGCGGCCGATATAAAATTGCGCGGCCAGCTAAATAGATAAATGGCGATATCATTGCGGTCGAAGAGGCTGACAGGATGAACGCACATTGTAGCTGGCCTATAGAAAGCTGGTTGAACAAAATTGTTCGACCTCCATGGTGTAATTTAATTCAAGGGTCGAATGAACAAAGATAGATATAGATGTACAAAAATGGAGATACACGAGGTGAGGGTAGATGAGATAGAAGCGTAAAGAGACTGAGTTGAAATGAGGGGTTAGATAGAAGAAGGGGACCGTTAAGTAAATGTAAAGGAAAAAAGGAAAAGACATCGTAAAGACTCGAGACGGAAAAGAAGCAATGAGAACTACGAGGAAAGAACGGCCCGCAGGCAACGGATAAATGGAGGAAACAAGACTGAGAATGATATCAAACGAGGCCTAAAATGACGTCAATGAAGACACGTCAAGAGAAAAGGATAATGTTTGGGCTCGTGCTATCATCCAAGAAACGCTCGGCAAGATCTTGAGGAGATATTTCAGCCTTGAAATGTATTCTTTCCATGAGAGAAAACTGATTGTGAGATTTGAACATGTGAGAAATAGATGATGATCTTACCGAAAATATTTCGAGACGCACGACAATTTTATTTAAGAATTATTATGTTATCTAATCGAAGCCTCAAGATTTATTTAAATTTTGATATTATATATAATAAACGCTTTAATAAATAAAGTTAAAATAAATCGATACGTCGTATAACTTATAATGCTATAAAATTGTAAACGATTTTATATTATGTTACATATATCGCTGCAGATATCAAATAGTTGAAATAATTATTATCTAATAATTCGCGCCTAGTTAATAAGACAAAAACTAATTGCACATATCCTTGTCGTATGTGACATGATTGATAATTATTAAGTAGAGTAGACATTAACACATTAAACATAAACTCGGCTAATAGTAACATTGCCTAAATAATAGAATAGAAAATCGTGAGCAACTATGTATTGAAATCATTGTTTATTTTATCTGATACTCTCTTATTCAAAGATTATGATGCAAATTTTAATTTTATATTTTTCAATTAAAACGATTGTGACAAAAAGATATAACCGAGCAACGCATTAACAAAAATATATGAAAGAATATATGCTTCTAACAATAAATTAAAAGATGCATTATACAAAAAAATTCTATTCACTGCATTTACATCTTAGAAATGAAAACGCAAATGTGAACAAAAGTAATTTGCAATATTATTACACGATACATATAAAAAATGCTTATAAAAAAATATAATGCGTTGTGTAATTAATCCGAAAAATTACTTGAGAGAATATTTTATGTTGAATTAATAAAAATAATTTAGAAAATTGGTTTGCAAGTAGTCAGTAGTCTTCTACAAACTGAAAAATTATTAGCGATTTGAATTTGAAAATATACAACTCTATCCCATTTATCATTGAATCTCTGAAGATAAACGTGCACTCTACAGCATATACCTACATACATATTCTTTAGAACACTCTGAACATTTTTCCTTCGACACGCTCTCGGCTATTTGCCAGCTAGGCAGCAGAAAGAACGGTCCTCTCATCTTTATTTTATCGATGAAATCGTGGCCGCACCGTAATAATTCTGGCATAGAATACACTTACGCGTTCGCATGACCTTAATATCATACGAAATAAAAACAATGCTAATAGCTAAATAGCATATGCTAAAAATATTGCATTATTAAATAAGAAAAAATATTACACGAATAATTTATATAAGATGTTATACCATTGCTTCCTATTCACTATATTAGCGAAACCAAAGTATAAATAGATGATCGATTCTTAAGCAAAGTTTATGTAAATATAATTTCTATATCTGGATTCCTCTATTTTCAGTGAGAATAAATTGTATATTATCCATTTCGTTAATGTGATGTCACAGATACAACTCAGGAACCGCTCGGTGACGCTATAGATCGAGTCTCACTGACGACAAACGAATGATGACATAGCAAACGGATTTGTGTGATATGCCATTATTATATGTATATTTTCCGCATTGTTTTGTCAGACATATCGCTCAAGTTTAATTCTATTCAATTGAGATTTACCGATTTGAAGTAAAAATATAATATAATTATATATAATCTAAAAACAATATAGTACAATAAAATACAATCTTGAGTATTATGACAGAAACTAAGCAATTTCCAGTAAAAACTATCGAGTAAGCCTATTGACGCTTACTTGGAAATTTCCATATAACTTCTTGTAATTACCTTTCGCATTCAAACGATTAAACTGTAAAAAATTAAATTTGGATTGCATCTCAAAACAAACATCCAAATTTTTCGATCAAATCACGATTACGAACGTAATACATATATAACAAACATATAGAATTTACTCTCGAATATACTTATTTTAAAATTAATAATTGTGAATCCTTGTGATGTTTTCAAAATAGCTGAATCAATTTTATTCGCTTGTTTAAGAAATTGTAAAGTTCTTCTTAATCTTTCAGAGACTTTAAAGATTTTTAAACAAATCATAAATGAGCAACCTAGTATCGCGCGCATCCACCCAGAAGTCACATTACCATATAATATATATATAATTAATTCGTGAATGAACGTAAGATCATCTTACACATCTTTCGAAAAGTTAATATGCTTTTCTCTCACTAAATAATATTAGGTGTTGGAATTAATTCGTAGCGTTTTACAAGTGATGGGAAGTACTTTCATTAATGTATTTTTTAATGCTCATGTGAAATAAATAACATTCTTTCATTAAAAAACGCTACGAATTAATTCCAACACCTAATATTTCTCCACTTTCTGTGACCTTAATGATTGTATCGCGAGTAGTCTTGCGTACAGATTTAATTTATCTAAAAAATTAACGATGATATTAATGTCATACGTTTGGTATAACATCTTCATATTTTCGTGCTACTTTATTACGCATTCTTACTCATTCAGTAATATGTCATACGCTAGGTCTACCGTGTGCCATTATGCACATTTATGATTACACTAAAGATGACGATATGCATAATACCGTCTGTCTCTGCAGCCGCTAAGAACGTCAACTGGCGTCGGTGTGATCGTAAATTTGCAAAATAGAAAAGCGTCGCTACCACATCGTCCTCGAAAGAGATGCATATATAAATGCAAAAGAAAATTGCGAACTTGGAATTGAGAGAATCATGGGTAGATACGTTATGAGTCGTATTTTTGTAAAATTCAAGTTGGCATGAAATCGTAATTTACGATCTCTGTCTGTAAGAAGAAATGTGAGTAATGCAAGTTAGCTAAATCCGAACAAGGTTCTCTCTCTCTCTCTCTCTTTCTCTCTCTCTCTCTCCCCTCTCTCTCTGCTTTCCTCCCCTCCCCACCCTTACCCCTTTTATTCTTCCTTCCTTTTTCCATTCTCCTCCCTTTCTCGCTCTAGTTACATTATCTATATTTTATCACGAACATATATCAAATATACATAAACGCATACTACGTTTTCATATTTGCTTAAATTCAAGTA